AAACAAAAACTTATAATCTCAGAATAATAAACACGGATTATGAATATTGTATATACTTTAACTAACTATTTGATTTGGTTAATTAAAACGAGAAGAAATAATAACAGTGTATAATTTATAATTCCTCAAAGGAATTACTTGCTTCGGAAACATTCACAAGTTAAATCGATCTTAATACATCGAATAATAACGTTGCACCAACGCGATTATCATAATATTACATTCAACACAAAGATCAAATTCATTATGCATCATTTTCTGATACGGTTGTAAATACATAATTTCGTTGGTAATAAATAATAATAATAAATAATATTTTTCAGTACATCAGTGGTATTAAAAATTCACAACCCACGTCGTGAATATAATTTTTTCGCAGTCCATATTAATAATATCAACGGAATAATTATGCCTTGAATCGAACGCTAAAAGATAGACGCCTTGGAATTATTTTTGAAGCATCGTTGAATAGAAAACTTTTTTCTTAACTTTTGAAATCATATGGCGATCCAATTTTAAGTCACATGCGGCCCATCGGTTTAAAACCACGGCGCGCGGTATATACTAAAGCTAGTAAACACCAGATATATCAATTCCAAAATGAATTATAGTAACTAAAATTGAATAAAACTGCTCAGGTATAATACCAAATCATTTCTATTTTTAATCCAGATTAATTAATATTTTTTCATGGTAAAATATGCTATAAAATTATACCATGTAAATAAATACAGGATATTTATATAATTTCTAACCAATTTTTTAATTTGTTTATAACCATTCTATTAGTTTATTTTATATTATATTTACAAAAATTTCCAAAATTAAATACTAAGAATCGATATATTAATTTTTTTCAATTAGCTAAGTTATTTTCAATTTGTATAACTTAGAATTTATATACATAATAATAAAACGTTAAATTTTAATAACATTATAAACATTTATTTGCTGAAACTACTGTCAATTATCAAATATCAATTGTACCGTAAGAAATATACCTTTTCTGAGACATTTTAAAATGGAAAACCATTTAGGTTTTTATTCAATGTCTTTGGAGTCAAATTATTTCAAAAACATTAATTTGAATATTCTTTTATTGTGTTATAAATTACAATATAGATCAATTAATATTGGTTTTGAAGTTACAGCACAATTTGAGTGTATTTACTCGAAAACTTATACAAAGGTTCGTGGTGGAAACTCGAAAATAATTTTCGTTCAGAATTAATTTTAAAGTTTCCGAACATCTTGGATGGGCTACGTGCAATCGATCCACTATTAGGTATTTTTGCTACCGGCCGAAACCTGCAAAAGCTCGCAAAATGTACATGCGAAACATTAGCATGGGATTGAAGACCGTCTGCAGACATGTCCAATGATCGATCGGACCAGTTGTGCGCGCGTCAATAATAACAGTTTAATATGATTTTGCGCGGAAACGATATATTACGCGTAACATGGTTGTCGCCGTGGTCGTATCAAATTGCGGACATTTATTTTAATATGATATTCTCCTTCTTGAGGTGCGCGTTTCGTACCAAGTTTTTCAATTTCCAGAAAGTGAAATTAATAACTCTCGGTGATGAAATCCGTAACGCACGAGATAAAGCTGCAAATCTCGTCCCGAATAGAATGCTTTTATTTGCCGTATATACGTTATTTACAATGTCGAATCCTCGTTGGGAGGGAAGACGGAGAACACCATGGCGCAGTCCTTTGCGAGAGTCGCAACCGTATATAATATTTTACGCTTTGACGTCGTCGTCGCGGCACACGAGGCTCCAGCGAACAAATCAAATTCTTACCGAGCCTCTCATCCGTATTAAAACGGAACCAGAGAAAACTTAATTTAATAATGAACTCCTCCGCGCCTGATAAGAAGAATAAGCATGGAGAAATTGCTCTGGTGACATTTTTTTTCTCCTTATTTTTCGCCAATTCTTACTTTTACCACTAGGTTGTGAGACGAATGTGAATTTTTCCCCCGCAGCCAATATTCCCGTCACGTTTTCATCAGTGATCCGATTTTTTTCTTTTCCTCTCCACCGCGTTTCTCGTCCAGAAATTGACACGGCCACCGTAGCCGACCTTTTGTCATTAAAGCCGTGCGCACGTCCATTTGCATATATTATATATACATGCGTACGTACAGATAAAAGTCGGATTATTTAACGCTTTCGGCATTTTATCCAGGCCTGCGATAGGTTCTCTGTCCGATCGCCATCACCGTTTGTTCGTTATCCGGCCGAGAAAAGCCAAGGATAAAAATAATGACAGTACAAAAATATTCTGATGGCCGTCTATGACTAAATCCAATTATTAGCTGAATGGTAACAATATTATCAACACATACACGATTCGGCTGTGTGCTAATTATGTATAATGTGTATACAGAGTGTCTCTTAAAGGCTTACATTTTTATTTCGATATTTGATGCGTTACAAAAGATACGTCAATTAGGTTTTTCATTTAAATCACGCACAACGTCTTATTACCACATTTGCTAATTTTTATCGAACTAAATATCAATGTATTCATGGAAAACAAATAATGAACAACTTTTTTAATTTAAGAAATAATTTACTATTTGTAATTCCTCGTGTAACATATGTTCGATGATTTTTATAAAATTTACTTCACTTTATTATAATTTATAATTTTTATAATTTTATTACTTTGAAAACTTATAACCATGGTATTATAAAATTTGATTGAAAATATAGAATTTTTATGCTTTATTTCAGTAGCCTACATTTTGTTTAGAATTTAAACGAAATCTTCTTCCGTTATTAATTTGATTTTCAAACATTTTCTATATTAATATACGTGTTTCTTCATTGAAGAAATTTGTGACCATATTTTTTTTTTTAAATATAAATATTAATATATGTATTATACATGTGATACCTATGATTGGACAATATTTATTCTAATATATTTACTATAGAAATGTTTGAAATTCACTTCTTAAAATTAATGGCACATGATAAGAGTTATTACAAAAAAAAAATTATAAAACTGTACCTATTGCTTTTATATATAATTAAATTTTCAAAAACATATCGAAAAACGATTTTGAATTTTATCGGTATAATATTAAAACTGCATTTATAAAACTCATAAAAATGGCAACAGTTCTACTTTCTTAAGTTACATTTTTAGATTTATGTTCATCAAAATATTCATAAAAATATGAACACTCTGAGACTTTCAAATAAAAATTTTATTTGTTCCCAATATTTCCATTTAATAGCTTGGGATGTTTAGCAGATGATGGTAGAATTATTTTAACAATATACATTTATAATAAAAACTGTTATAATTATATAATTGCAATTACAAAGTAAGAATTTTTAAAAAAATATTATATTTAGGTTTCAAAAATAAATAAATAATTATTTATGTTTTCCAAGTTGTAGTTTGAATGACATAAAAAAAAAGTTATTCGGTATAATATATTTTAGGTAAATGACTGAGTTTCAAGTTACCCAGTGAATGTATTACTTTGTACTATTTATACCCATTATATATTATATATTATTTATTTTAATATTTATATAATTTATATATACCTTTTTGATGTTTATTTATATACGGTATCGGACAGATGAAATTACCTACTATTACTACAACAGGATAAAACTTCTTAATATGCAGGTTCAATATTTTTCGAAAAATCCTAATTTTCGAATAACCTATATCCATTTTACGATGTACTAATTTTAATAATTTTTTTTCGTTAAAACGAGGAAAAGAAAAATAACCGATGATAATAGTAACATATGATATCGTTTGTTTACGTCGTATTGCAATATGCGCGATCATACTGATCGCTGTACCGATGCGTTCGAATCATGTTATTAGTGGGAAAAAATCCTGGGAGTGCCAATTCGTGTTTTTAGCGAGCAGAAGCGTTTTATTCGTTCTTTCAAACGTTTTTCGTCCGGTTGAATTAATATCAGTAATTTTATTGGTGTTACTTTATCGTTGTCCTGTTCCACCGAACAATACCGTTCGAAAACGTTGATGGCAATACGAATTAGAAATATATATTGACCTGGGTCTATTATTCACGACCTTTAAATACGTAGTTATATACTTTCGTATTTTCGTTGTAACCGATCCGACTGAAAAAAAGTACATTTAAATTAGTCTGCGATAAATCTTCGAATTCGCCAAAAAATGCATAGTAGTTCTACGTCGGCATAACCCTACCGGCAGCCACTGCAGAAGGCATACAATACAAGTGCATACGCGGTATTGTATTTATAATTTCCTTATTTCGGAGAGTTCATAATACAATTCAATCCGTTTGCCAAAAGTAACTCACAAACTAATATAATAGTCGAAAACTAATATTATTTTGTAAAAAAACGATACGCATCATATTTATTCGATTTCACTCTTTCGTTTTTCCGTACTTCAGATATTCTCGAGCACTATTCAATTGTATTTTTCCGGTTAACAATGTTTACACTTGAACATTCTGCGTTTCATTGTACTGTTACTATATCACATTACGTATTTTCTGAAATAATTCTTTGGGTTTGTTTATCCTTGCTTATCAACTTCACTGCGTCTATGTATTATGACGTTTCACATTTCCGTGTACTACTAGGTATCAGAAGTTTCGCAAAACTTTGCGTGTATTAAAGGTTAAAACTACGTAGACTTTAGCAGCTTATATATCCACATTGACTCTTTGTTACGAAAAAAAAATAATATGATTAAATAAAATAATAATAAATTTATATGTATACATCATATAAGCGATAGTATAATTATATTAATGATATATAATATTTGTGTAAATATTCAAATTCAATTATACCATAGCGCAGTATAGTACTACAAGTAGTTTAGTTAAACCTTGAAAACTAATGTGATTGTAATGTACTACGTTATTTAACCACGCAAGTATAGGTGTTTAGAAACAGAAAAAAAACAGTATTTAAATTGTCATCGTTGTAATACATTGTACGTTCTTTGAATTGCAGTCGTGTTGCCTGGAGAGTGGCCTCCGGAGGAAGCAGAGGAGCCGATTTTCTTCCCAAATGATAATAGTGTCAAGTCAAATAACGGTGGTAACGAATTACAAAGGGACGAAGTTAAATCAGCGGACCATAAAGAAGAGCGAAACACACCTGTTGGAGGTAATTTCTTTATGCGTGCGCAGTATATTATTATTTTTATTTTTACGATGAAAATATGAATTTTACAAAAACTTAGCATCTCCAACACGGCTTTACAGTTTGTTTCATTGTTTCCGTACCGTTCTACAAACGGAAGCATAAAACATCACGTAGGGGCTCTATTGCGTTTATATATCTTATACATTCATCTCGTTAGTTATTTTACTAGGCAATATACATACAATATCAAAATCTAATATAATTGAAAACAACAACGCGTGATTCTGTGCAACTCGATTACATAATTGTTGTGCGTTAGCCCATTAAAGGACGAGAGTATATTAGAGTGTGTGGGACGATCAAGGACACCCGCTCGTGCATTTATTTATATATAAATAGTAGTCGCAATTAATTGAATTGAATTATTCAGGACATTAAGTATATGGTGCGGTATAGGGATTCGGAGCACATTCGGAACAGACAATGGTCATCGGATTAATGATTTGCGCTGTAGACAGGAGGTGTATATGTATATATATATATATATATATATAAACATGCAAGTTGCACGCACGCGGATATAATCACACTGGTAATATATATATGGTCTGTTGGCGGTAAGTCGGCTGGAGGGTATGAGGAGGTAAATGGCTTTCAATAAGCCAAAACAAGCCGACTAATGAAGTCGTATTTTTATTTTGTCCGAAACATCGTACATATATATACATGTAGGATACGTATACACTTTAACTGCTGGATATTACAGTAGCTGTGCTCGAGAGATGGATTAGGACGTGAATTATCTCGTCGGATTTCGTCGTATCAATATACTCGTATGTATATATAACCTCGGGATATACCGACCCATGTAGCGGATGAAAAATACGATTACTACGAATACAGCCCACCCACTCCTTTTCCTCCCGACGGCACATGGTTTCAATCGAAAATCAACGACCCCGTCTTCTGCTACTAATGACGATGCTGCGTGTCGCGTGATGTGCCCGTACTAGGATAGAGTAAGCCTATTAATAGCATTGCGTCGAGTAAAATTATACTAAATGTATGTCACTACGGCACTACAACGTCGATCCGATGTATTTATAATACACGAGGGTATACTTTTCAATCAACTGTGTACAACAAACACAGGTAAGATTTGATTGAACGCAAATTTAACTCAACAGTCTGATGTCATGGAGCGTGCGAGTTGTTGGTGATCCACGGTGTCGAAAATCTTTAAAATGTACAGCAATGATACATTTCGTGACATAGTTCAGTTGATTAAAATCCTGCACATGCAAATGGCTCGCAACAGTTATTATATTAAATCGTTCAAGATTGTTTAAAATTATTAAGTATATTATGTGTAGTTATCGTAAAGATTTCAATTGTAAAAACACATTATGTTCTCAAAAGGAACATGCATAAGGAAAACAACACATTTCTAAAGCAATTCAATATTTTATATAGTTATTCTATTACTGTCCAGTACTTCGAATAATGACGAATACAATTTAAAAGTGCTCAAAAATACTTTTCACGATCTAATTTTCGATTGAAGGATAGCAGTGTGAAATTGTTGATGTGTTTAACGAAAATAATGGCATAGAATAACGAGAAACAAAAATATAATTGTAAAATCGATACATTCAGGATTAAGAATTCTATCAATTAATATTGAAAAACCACATAATAATTCGATAAAATATTTATTTGAATTCCGATCAAGAATTTATGTCCACCCATTAAACTCGAACCCCATTCGGATGACCCATTTGGTCGAAAACCACGCGCATCATAAAATAATCTTTTCTTATCTATGTACAAAATCCGTTAGCAACGGACACTTAACGTTTATCGTTTTGACTCGTAGTAAAACGGTAGCGTCCATAGCGTAGTCCGTTTAAACTTTTATTTCAATGCGTAATTATCCTTCAATGGTGTTTTTCCTCTCCAAGGACTATCCCAATAATAGTTCACCAAACAATCGCGTGCGATATAACTCGAGCAGGTGTATTTGATCGCGGAAACAACATGAGTTATTTCTAGAAAATTCTATGTTTATGTTGAATATTGTATGTACTTCTATATAATATTGTAATATTCAGTGACACAACAAAAATGTATATTTGAAATACTTTAAATATTGTCCCCTCCGTGCCGGTGTTTGAAAAGGACTAGTGCTTCAGTATTCTGTAAAGCTTTTAAAAAATGCGCGCGTAAATCCAACTGTGGATAAAACTGTAAATATCTTACCGTGACATATTTTTTACAGCGAGTATGTAAAAGTGAAAAATTATTACTCGTTTATTCACAGCTGTATTGTATTGAAACTTAAAAAAAATTAAAAATACATCCAAAATCCACTATAAAACACAGACACACAAACACACCCTCACACACGTGCATTTTTTAGGGAAGATTAAAATATCTCAAAATATCATTTACAAATTGCGATTGGCCTGTGTTTTCACAATGTGTTCTTCGACGATCCGTTCGAATTTATATTTAATTATTCCCGTACGTTCGCCGTTTTCCTATTTTGATAATTGCGACTGATAGGTTGACTATTATACAAAACTTTGAATCGTCGTCGAGACTAATGCATTACCAACCCACGGTAATAGGTGACAGATACGCATTTGTACGCGTGACCCCTTCTCACGAATTTTTACGGCGTATAATTGTTTTCGAGACGGAATTTCTCCCAGTTCAAAGAACGCGTTTGTAACTATATTAAAAATTTCATGACTTTGAATACATAACTACATCCGTAAGTTTCAGAGGTATCCAAATTAATTTTTAACCCGATTGAATTGCACGCTTTCTAACAATTAACTTTAGATGCAATTGGAATTACGTCTGCGGAGGAAACTGTTTAAATCAAAATTTAATAACAAAGTTGTGATGTTTTTTATTTTTTTTTTAATGATTTTCGCAACTTATTTGCAATGTTGCCTTATATTTCACTAAAAATAAATGTTTTCGGTGTTGTATCCTTGTAGTTTTTAATAAAGCAGGATTAAGAAAAGTTGAATTGACACAAACGTAAATTGAAAGTTATCAAACAAAATCACGAAGTTAATAATTAACAGGACTTATTCACGGAAGCATATATCCAATTAGGTGAATCATAAATCATACAATTACAATGCATAAATTTTGTGTCGAACAAAAACTTCCACCGAAAATTATAGTCACAAAATAATACGTCAGAGTGTACGTTAAGACATACGCGTTGGTATCCGCGAAATTGCTAATAATAATATGAATATTGTCGATAACAGCTAAACAAACACAATTATACCGTTGATTAATTACCATTCAGCCGAATAATATTAATATATGTGCATAACATTAACAATAAACGCGAAATAATGTATGTATACCAATTATCTGAAAAACAATAACAATCGTAAGTATAACACATTTCTATGTATTGATAAAATGGTAACGTGACTGTTGTGTTCTACAAAGAATACAGAGAAACGTTGTAGGGAGAGAAATCCGCTGGTTATAGTTAGAACATGATAGTAGGAAGCTGCAAAACTATATATTTCCGTGTACGCGAATAATTTAAATTTCAGAGCTTACCAAATTGTTATTTCACGAGTACGCGTAATGTTATTATATATATATATATATAAGGAAACAACTCCTCTGGGTACGGGCCGGCATCCTTACAGGGATCAGAGTTTAATGCGTTTTTAAAACGCTAGTAAAATAGACGAGTTTAAGGTGGACCGTTCCGAACCCATTATTATTACCGCACAGTCGGAGTACATTAGCTCGTCTGTCTGTCCTCATAATATAATAATATATGATGTATATATATTATATATTGTGTTGTATAGATTTTTATATAATTGGATTTGAAAACCAAATTAGAATAACTGCCGTACGATAAATCTCATTGCAAACTAAAAAAATGCGTGCAGATAAATTGCGTTGCCAAAACACCTAAGTGATACATAATGTTATTACGTTACGTTATGTCCTTGAGTCTTTTGACATGACGGAATATTCTAGATTATCGCCGTCGGCTCATGATTGTACGCAATATGTTCGGTAATAATATGTATGCGCGGGCTACCGTGTTGCCGTTCCCTCTACGGGGTTGCATATCGATGGCCGATAAATTTTTTATCTTTACGAGTCTTAGCGTTCTTTTAATCAATAAATAAACGAAAATATTTATACCCTTATACGATAAATTCAATGTTTATAGTTTTTAATACTTTTAGAACTTTTACGATCGTAATTTTTGCATACAATTTCGTGTTAGCGAGTGTATACGCGTTTTTGTGACCCCAATACCGTATAATCCCGCTGTACGTAAATAATGTACGTGTACATATATGTATATTTATATTTATATTTAGTATGTAGATATATGTTAGGTTAGCTTCGCGGATGAAAATTATCGAACCGTATTTTCGTAACACCACAACACTGACCGACTCTAAGCACATTATATTTTGTTTACCACATAATCATAATTACTATTATTATTGATATTTTGTGGAAATAAACGAGTTTTGTATAAATGGTCTACCTAAACTTTTAACTCGTTACCAATTAAACGCATTAAAACGATTCGGACCGTTTTTGCCGCTAATAGAATAACGCCGTACACACGCACACACACACACGTATAAATACGTATATATGTATGTATTTACACATGCGTGCGTGCCGTACATAATATATTTATGTGATTTATTCATGCTCGGCAATGCGTTTATATATTCAAAGAAGTTTATACTAATCCGTATAAGAAGCGATTTGGTAGATTATAATGAAATTCATATTTATGTAAATTGGGTAAACGTTTCCCCGCACAAGCTTTTGTTTGAAAGCGATGACATGGAATCTTAACCCGAAGAAACAAATCTTTTAATTTATAACGCCAAATGGGAACATGTTTATGTGTATGGTTTATTATTATCATAAACACAACCGTTTTAATTTATTTGATTTTAATTCTATGAGAATTTATTAGTGCATGGACTTTGAAATGTACACGTAGGCATCTTCAATAAAAAGTGCTGATGATCTTCGTGTCAAAATATCTATACAATAAATATTTCATCATTAAATACCGTTGACTGTGTTCGGAGAAAAATTGAAATTCCATCTGTTTATGCATTTTTCTATTATTATCTTAATTATATTTTGTACATTTTTTAATTTTAAAAAATACCGTGGAAATCGATTTTTAACGTGTCGGAGTTTGTTTCCTCGTGGAATTAAAACTTTAGTTTCAGACAAAGAGAAATGCGATTTTTTTTGCTCCACCATCGCCAACTTAATGCTTTCCTACGACTTTATTGATTAGAGCGAAAAAAATTCTTCACAGAGAGAAAAAAAATAAAGGAGTAAAAAAAGGTAAATATTACAATACATAGAAATGTATTCGAGGAGAAGAGAAATAACTCGATATTTATGCTCGAGGAAATCGTATAAAATATTTATAACATGCTCCGTATATAGCATCGAAACATTATGCGAAAAGAGTATTTGTTATGTTTCCATTTTGCTCTGAACTAGGCTATAAAAATGTTAATGAAGACTAATACGACCCCAATTCCTATCAAATGAAGATATATATGTATGTTCGCACATTTTATTCATAGAAACGAAAATTTATTTTTATCCATTTTTAGATTTTACAATAATACAACACAAACAATATAATGTTTGTGTCAGGGCGATAAAATATCATTATCAGATGATCAAAACGATGTTGGACTACTTAACGTTTTGTTATTATCATGCTCGTACATAATGACAGTAAATCAATACAGTGCCGATCAACCTTCTAATGTGAAAAATACAGTATCGTAATGAAAGTTAATCTGAAAATGTATGTTTAATAAGTCATAATATATTACATACAACATATTTACAATATTTTAGATCGATTTATATTATGAGAACAATATATATAAATATATACTTATGTGTCCACATGAAACGAAACTATGCAATTCACAATGTTTTTTTTTTTTTAATTATACATAAAATCAATATAATTTAAAAGAAATACATACTTCACTACTACGGTGATTGTATTTATGTTTTATTTAATTTTATTGTTGTATCTATACATTTTTCTTCTTTTCATTTTTCTTTTTGTTAACCACGTTATTTACTTATTTTTCTTTTTTTCAATAAACTCTAACGATGTTAGGAAAAAAAAATCATAATAATAAGAAACAAACTGAATAACATCAACCTTCGGAAATTACGTCCCCGATTGGGAATCGAAAAATGGCATCCTAAGTTATAGTAAAGTATTCTTATCCAAACCGAAAACGCTGATTTTTTTATAGAACCTATCTGGAACCATTTATTTAAACGTATCTGCAATAATTTAGCAGATCCATGTGCCAGTAACTTATCCTTTAGGGTCACCCGAGACGCTAAAACAACTCCCCATACCCGCTTTTAGACTCTTATAGAATAGTTCACCTGGTCGAAATTTTGGGACGTTATGGCTGTATTTACGATTTAAAGCTACTTTTATTTTAAACGTTTTTCTCTATCTTCCTTAATATATAAATACATATACGTTTCCTTTCTCTTTCAGTCACCCCAGAAGTTTCTCTCGTGAATTATTATTTATACCTTTAACCGTTTGAGGAATTCATATCTCACATATTACGTGCACACACAAATAAAGTGAATTCCCAATCATATGATTAAATATATAAAATACCATTTATAGAAAATATGTATTTTATATATTAGTGCATAAAATACCATTCCCAAAGTTATTAAAATTGTAGAGTTGAATAAAAAATATTCTTTTGCAATTCATTATGAATATAAAATAATTTCGTAAAATATTATAATGCTAATAACTCAGTTTTTCGAACGTTACTATGATAAAAATATTCATCCCTGATTCAATGTGCCAATGACAGATTTTAATCAAGCTCAGAGTTGCTTACTGAGGATTATAGATTTTGGATTTTAACATAATTTAATAAGCAAGCTGCTTAATTGTATCTAAACTGCGTAAGTTTATAACGCATATTAACCGCACGTCCACAGATTAATGAGTAAGATTTAGTATGCTTTACCGATCATATAATTAAAATACATAAAGCTTGAATGTAATTAAAAACAAAAAGATTTTAAAATGAGACTTCAAATACGAATTTTTTTTTTAATAAAATTATTCAATGCGATATAAATTTGTAATTGATACTCATAAAATATTAAATGGCACATAATATTTTAATTTCTACTAGTTTTAGTGGAATTACGAACTTCACTGACATAATAATGCGATTTAAAATGTACAATAAACATTTGTATATGTACAAAATAAATTAATAATTTTTTCTTTTTTTCTCTGACGGCACTTTAGCGAAATACAGTATGTAGCTTGTAATCAAATCCATAATTCATATTTAAATATTTATCACTTACGTTAAATATTAATGTTGATCTTCAATTCCGATTGCATTTAGTTGTTTCCGCAGTAGGTAGTATTACTGAAAAATTGTATGTTTAAGAAAAACGAAAAAAGTTTCTTAATTTTAATGATACTAGTTATTCCTAATTCTGAGAAATTGCATATTGCACTACATGGCGTAGTATGTGGTATGTGTGTGACTTGAATATTTTATGTTCCTTCGTAGAACACAGTAGTAATCCAATTCTTACTAGAATACATTCCACTACTGCGTATAATAACATGTTGAAACAACAGGTGTCTAATGTTTTAGCGTGTACATTATAACCGTATTATTATCATGGCATTTTGAGTGCGAGTTGTTGACTATCTAGATATTTCGATTGTTAAATGACACATATTATTTTTATTGTATAATTTATTCCGACTGGCATTCCATAGCTTGTTATACATCTTAAGTATAACTTATTGTTCTTCGACCCGGATGGTCCTCGAATCAGTGCTACATCATAAAAGTTTGATCGATATTCGTCGGATACCCATTAATATGAGTATAATATTACGATATACGCGACAAACCTGCAGCTAAGGGGGTAATCATCATCAGCAGTAGGTACCAGATTTTTGTGCGTTATACCTTTTTAAACCAATCAATCGTTAGGGTCTCGTGATTGCGCTAGGAAAAATGTTTCGGACGTGTAAAAATAGCTTCCACTCAATAGCGTTCCCTGTGTCCAAAGTCTACCTTCATTTTTAATTCATGAATAATAAACTTCAATCACTTTGGTTCGTTTTCAACGTATGTAAATAATTAAAATGTTTAAAACCAACATTAGCTGTATTAAAATAAAATGTAGATACTCGGTTAATACATTTTTTTTTTATTTCTCTTTCATTTTAACTATTAAAATTATAAGTAATAATAATATAAGAAGATAAATTCTATATGCAAATATAATCAAATTCATAAAATTAATCTCGATCGTAAATTAAACTTATTATATTTTATGTGCTTATCAATTACTTAGGTTAATTTATCCAAAAATAAAAAAAATAATTTCTCTACCCAATATTACAAAAAACTTGAAAACTATTTCAAAAAAACAAACAGTTTGTTTGTAATTTGTTTCAAAAAACTGTTTGAGTTGAACTTATTAACCTATCTTAAAATTCTCTTTCGGGCACGCATTCCACAAACGAACCAGTATGTCTTTAAAATACCACAACTTTCTAAAATCTGAAAGCAATACCAATATTAAATTATGGAGATTATGCTTTTGTTTCATATTACTGATTCGAAAAGTATTTGTCGTCTCAATTATTTCCATTGACAATACACACTAGTACGACATTAAATTATAATAATTTTATATAATTCGATTATCCATCGAGGCCACATCGAGTTAAAAGTTCGAATCGTATTAGTTGTTTACAAAATAATTACATTGTGATGCTTTTTTTATCCTGTCATTTCCTATCCATTCATAACCACCGCCTCTTCTCCCAAGTGTTCCCTTGTAATGAAACAATTGAATTATGAACAACGATCTTGACAAGGACTTCAATATCAATTACGGCTACAGCTGGAGTCTCCTCTACCAGCATGTCAAAGGGGATGATGACGGAATAGGTTGATTGAGTGAATACTGTTGGGGTGCAGGAGAACATAAAGGAAAGTGTCGACTAGATATAAAATTATCCTCGTAAAAATCCGCAATAGTTGCTCGAAACATTTTTTTTCCTCTAAAAAAATCCTGTTGGGAAACATGAATACGGATCACTACGAATAAATTTCTAACGTGGTTTTTCAATACCTCCCCTACCGCACCACCCATCCTTAAGGACGACCGCGTTCGCTTTCGGTGTTATGCTTATCGTTATTGTTCTCTTCGGTGATTGACGTTCGAACGTGTTCCAGGTATGCCGCAGCACACGAAGAACAGAGAGACCGGTCAAATCAGTGGCGGCCGCCGTCTGATTGGCCTGCTGGTGGGAGCGCTGTCAGCTATCACCGTGCTGGCCGGCGCATCAGTGGCGTTCCTCGTCGTCCGCCGGCGACGCCTGATCCGGCAAGTGTCCCGTCGGAGTCGCAGTACGTCGTTCCAAGAGTGCACGGCCGACAAACCGCACTTACCGCCGGCCATACACCTGACGGTAAGTCTGAGCACCATGCGCAGCGCAATCTTACCAGCCGAGATGGATTTCCCGAGTGGGTGGAGTACGCGACTAGGGCGGTAAAATTTAAAGGGCTACAAATTTTATAACGGTTTATCAAAATACACCATTCGTGTAAGAAAAGAAAAAAATCCTTATTTTATAATTACGAAAAATGATGTGATATTCGCAATTGACTGTCCAAACGACGATGGTTCGTAAAAGTTAACGTCTTCGTCAAAATTCGAATGAATTGAGGTGCTACATACTTAGAGGTAGCTACATTTAATAAATCGGGGTAGCAAATGTTTAGTTCCTATAGGCTATATATAGCCATAATAAAGTTAAACCCGTCTCCGCTTACTTGACTTGAGACACGGATTCAACCCGTTGGCTCGTTCCCAGACCTATTGGTAGCACATCAAAATTTAGGTTTTGTCCCTACATTCCTGTGCTCTTGTATAAACTACTGTCCGCAGGGTGAACGACATTAAGGTATTTTCATTTCGTAAACGTTTTGCAATTCTCGACCGCTGTTTGCGCTGATAATATATTGTACATACAAGTTTTAATTAAACTACCTATTCGTTTATTTAGATGTACAGTAGAAATCGTTTGTTATGACATTCAAGGGACTAGTAAAAATTTGTCGTAATAACCAAAATGACGAAAATAAATTTAAAAATTCAATTATACATTAATATAAACGTAATATTTTATTACAATCGGAAGTGGTGTGATGCGGGTAATATTATAGCAGCTTCTTGATCACTAAAACAGGGTAGTTAGGTAGTGTTGTATGACGGAAAACTTTAGCATATAGTTTGCACTTTTGACATAAAATATTATTTTATATTATTTTGTTTGGACCCGTTAATTTTAATAAATTGTTTTCATTTTAATGGGGTTGGTACTTCTCGATACACGTAACTGCTTCATTGGAACATTAACTTGGCGTCGTTATTGATTATAGTTAAAGCGTTAAAGATACATATTTTTTCTACTAAATCATAATTTCATTACATTCAGAAAAAATAATAATTACATTTTTTTAAAATTATTTGTTTATTGTTGAAGAATTAAATATACAACATTGTATTAAAAAAATATTTTATCTTTGTTTAAACAAGTATAAAAATCATGCTCTACTTTTCCCTCTAGTTTTTCAGAATTTGTTATTGAACATACGTTATTCAGAATCATATCGTTTGTAAAAGTTATCGATTGTAATATTACCTTCAATAAATTTAGTGAAATCATTAAAGATAAAATATTTTTCCAATATAATAATATAAAACCGTCATAAAATTCGTAGTCATTTTCCAGAGGTCGTAATAATAGATACCAATTAATACATAAGTAATGAACAGTGTGCAATACTCTCGATGTAATATTACGATTGCACACAGATTTGAGTATTTCACAAAACTAACAACACTTTGATTTAGTCATCCGACATGGTGAAATAAAGAGACACTAAACTTTCAGTTGTATTTATTGTTATTTCATATTACTGAAATGGCAAGTAAATGCTCGTAATAATACTTGTCAATGATTTTATGTTTGGCTTTATTTTACGATTACTGCAATTTGAAAATCTTGATGTGTAAAATTGGTAAGATTACATAAATGTTAAACTATTGTGGTTTATTCAATTTTCCTCGATCATTTAAAATTATAATGTATTACTATAGCACTAAATAAATTGACTTTTAGAATCTAATAAAATCTGTTTTTACGTACTAACCTCTGGATGTGTTATGCAAAATATTAAATACTAACAAAAGTAAGCATTAAAATAATCCAAAAATTATTTTCAAAATTTATTTAATAAATTTATTCTTTAAAATAATACCATAATAATTCCTAAATAACAATAAAAATTATAAAATATAATAAATGTACCCTAAATTTGTAGTTATTTCATTATAGCAATAATTTAAATGTTTTTTCATCATCACTAAATTAAAATATTTAACAATTTTTAGAAAAATTATTAAAAAAAATTTTCTTGGCTGAAAAACAATAAAAATTCATAACTTCGTTTTGTAATTATTTTAACGACTTAAATTAAACCCTTTTAAATAAATTGATTTTTTGTAACTAAGATAAGTTAATGTTCAATCTTAATTTTAACTGAAATCTATCGTTTTGTAATTATAAACTTTTAGCTTAATGGTTTTTTTATGATTAACCTGACCTTTCTCAATTTAAATTTTTCCAAACTTTATAATGACCTTTTTCCAAAATAACAGTTTCAACAAAAACCAGTAAAATAAAAACCTTAATTTTCGTCAAAATTGATAGGGCTCTCGACCAGACTTGAAAAACAAAACCAATTAAACGCGTAACTGTCGTTGTTTTAAACGACTGTGTATGTAAAATTTTACAAAACCAACAAATAAACGACGACGCTTTTAATTTAAAATATTTCAAACACTATTTGCTCAAGACTTGCAAAACCGTTTCTACCGATACGACTCGAAATCAGGTGAAACGGTTTCGCACACAAACCGCGTATAAATATTTTAATACATGTTTACGGTAACGAGGCAGATTTTAAGAGGTTTTATTCCCCGCCGAAGTAATAACAATATATAAAGGATAGTTAAATTCTTATCGAATAACGCGTGTACACAGATGTACGTATAAAACCACATAACGACCGATGTGAAAAGCCAGTTGTAATAAAACATTATATTATGATACGAAACTGGTGACGTCACAGAAATTTACCCTACACATCGTAAATTGTTATTGTTATTTTTTTCTGATTTGTCGTGGCATAGTGCACGTTCGAAATTGATACACTGTTCATTACATAATACCGTCACGTCATCGAGTTAAATATCTTTGGCCTGACACTATATTATCGTACCGTGTCCGAAACACGATGTATAGAAATCCATGGTGGATATTGTGAGGTTTCTCAATGGTGACTCTTGTGTTCAGTAAGCATGCGATATTACTCACATTATTACTATTATTATCATGAGCGTTTAGATCAACCTAAAATATTGAAAGAGCGCATATGTTTTAGTTTTTTACGTTGAAGACTGAAGCAAAAAAAAGGAAACTTGCGTATATGATGAGCGCATCGAACTTCGCGCATCGCAATGCGTCGTCATGATTAAAATAAAACATTTTACTATATTTTACGTAATTTCATGAATCTCAACTAAAAATATTTTTTTTCTATCTATTTCAATAATAAATGTAACGAAAATTTTTCGTTATCCGGTGTTCGGACTTGAGCCACAGACTAACGAAGTTTTCAGTACATCACTATTAAGTTAATTGCATGGCACTCCGGTATTTATGGCTCAGAGACGGCGCTGACTATAACTTATTGAGTGATCGCTAATCAAGCTCCAGCAAATCGCGCGCTCAATTAATAAGGAACAAATGTTTGCGAAGTCTCGATACAAACGAAGTGATGACGATAAATTACGCTGTAGCAGTCCTAAGTACTCTATGTAGGGATCTTATAATCACAAACGTTTCTATAAACATTTCTATAAATAATATAACAAATAAAAAAAATTATCACTAAACTGTAGTTTTTTAAAATGGCCTAGAGGAAAACTTGGTTAATTACATTGATCGATGTATGCAAGTGTATTAAATGTTCAAAAAAATCTTATTTGACATAAAATATTTGGATACATATTATCAAACTTCACGATGCACACAAACTATGCACACAATCCATTATACGCCTGTTAAAATCAGGTAAAATTAAAGTTTTTTCCTTCAGGCTATACGGACTACACTGCTATTTTAAATTGACAAATTCGTGATTTTTTTTTTTTTTTTTGTATCAATAGATTAGGAGTCATTGATTAATCATAATTTTGATACATTCGGAAAAATTGGTTGGAAATATGAATAAATAAATGAAAATTTATTGTTAAAAGCAACTTTTTCTGATTATATACTGAATGTACGACTGCGATCAGTGTTTTATTTGACAAGCAAAGCATAACATTACATGGTCTGGGTTTATTTAATTTTTTTTCTCTTATAAGTTTTAAAAATTAATAAAAATAAATCAATTGCTGAAATCACATCGCATAAGAGATGTTCATGGAAATAAAAAGTGTACGCCCAATAGGAAAGAAGATGTTTAAAATGTGTTTGATCTTGTGGTTCTATGAAGGGAGAGAAGTGTATCAGGAATTCATTTAAAAAATGTGGCTGTTGAATTCACTCAAACCGTGTCCACGCATAATTCAACAGTAGTCTCTGCGCAACAACCTGTCTGTTTTGTAATAACATAATATTATTTGCCTTCAATTCTTAGCTTCTTCTCTCCCCTCGAACCAACTACCGAACAGATACGTGGTTAAAGGTTTATGACATGAGTAATCGTCTCCAAGGGTGGAGAAACGTTTAGTGCGCGAAATCCATTTATGAAATTTGTAATATTTTACTATAATAAATCGGAAAATATTTTGTTTTTGATGCACGGGAATACTATTGTATTTTAATGTAATTCGTAAATTGTAAATTGGCTAATGAATAATAAAAAAAAGGTTTCGTTTACTTATGTACCTATCGAAATTATAATATCGCGTGCAGATCACGTATACTGCAATGTATTGTAATGAGATAAGAAGTATAGTGTAGTATTCTTAACAGAAATGCTGTAGACTACCATGTGATAAGATACAATATAACTTTTTCATAAGCCACTGAGTACTAAGGTTTACGATAGTAGAAAATTTTCATCAGTTTGAGCAAAAACCGCAAAAAGACTTACGTTCAGTAATGGTATTATAACCGTAAAGGGGGTAAAATTCGTTTTCGCCAAAAGCGCAATGAATTGCACGCTACTGCACTGCTACCGAGTCGCGATGCCGACGACGGTAAGTCGTGTACCACAGTATGTATATAGATACGCAACGGACAACAGTAGGCGGTGGCGTCAGCTTCAAAACCGAAGTAATTAGGGTATACCTGTGTGTCGACGTTGTCCCCGAGGAATCCTGCATCTCCTC